TCCCATTGCATTCAGTGGATTTACTTCCATGTAAGTACGCACGGGAGGTGCAGCCTGGATGTGTGTGTGTGCATGCGTGTGTGTGCATGTTAGGGGGAGAGAGAAAGATCATGTTACATAAACAAACTAGCCTTGGAAATGGGGAAAAAAATCAAGGTGAGTTTCATGGTCAATATACCCTTCATGCTCCTCTCATCATGCCGCCACCCTACCCCCCCCCAAAGAAGATAACAAATTTGAAAGAAACAGAATTACAAGATGGATCAGTGAGCTGCATATACCACTCTCTTATTCAGAAGCATTGTCATTTCCTGGTCATCATTGTTTTTGCAAGGGAAAGCGTTCCTTCAGAAGCCATCATAGAGTTGGTGGGAGGCTTGTAGGCCACCTAGTCAAACTCCCTGCTGAAGGAAGGAGTCCCGGACTAAAGTAGCCTCCCCAACTGATGGCAGCCCAACCTTTGCTTGGAGACCTCCAGTGAAGGGAAGCCCAGCACCCACAGGTCAAAGTGCTCCATCCAGCAGTATCCTCAAACGTTCAATTAAAATCTGCCCTCCTGTGAATTAGCTCCATTAGCTCCAGTCCTTCCCCTTAGAGGAACAGAGAATCCCACACAGGGATGGCTGCTCAGCTAGGAGGCAGAGGAAGAGGCAGATTTTACTCCAACAGTACTGGAGAAGGTTGGAGGACGCAGGATTAGGATGGACTTGGCTTGTCTGGCTGCTGCAGAGGAAAAGACAGACATGGATGGATTCTATATATGAATCATATGTTCACAGCTGCCTCTCCTATCACCTTAGGGCAATTGGCATACATGTGCTTTTATTTTATTTTATTTTATTTTATTTAGTTCCTGAATATAGAACTTTGCATTTGGGCATCTTCATAAGGGAGAATAAGCACACGAACTTCCTCCCCACCCCCCAGGGCCGTCTTTACCTGGGGGTGCAAGGGGTGTGGGGCACCCGGGCACCGAATTCTGGGGGATGCCAGGTGCCCGCCACTGAAGCCGCCTAAGCCAAAGGTCAGCAAACTTTTTCAGCAGGGGGCCAGTCCACTGTCCTTCAGACCTTGTGGGGGGTCAGACTATATCTTGGGTGGGGGGAATGAACAAATTCCTATGCCCCACAAATAAACCAGAGATGCAGTTTGAATAAAAGGACACACTCTACTCATGTAAAACACACTGATTCCCGGACCGTCCGCGGGCCGGATTGAGAAGGCGATTGGGCCACATCCAGCCCCCAGGCCTTAGGTTGCCTACCCATGGCCTAAGCTCTTAACTATCTACCTGTTATGAAATAATAAATACTTTTGATCAAGCTAGAAAAACAAAATACATATATACCTAGGCATTACTGAAATGTATACCTACTGTTTCACTAAAGGACTTTCGACTTTGTGTGCTCATTTACCAAAGATGCGCTGCACCAGTGGCAGCGCTTGTCATTCACAACGGCGGTGCTTGTCAGATGAGTCAACAATGGCGCTTGTCATTCTCAACAATGCCGTGCACACGAAATTAACTCTTACATCAAAATATTATGTTACGTATTGTATTGAGCTGCTATGCGGCAGCAGGGTCAGCGGCACCTTTGACACGACCGATGTTTCTCCTGAATAGGTGCCTAAACAATACTTATAAGTTTAAGTGTGGTGGTGGTGTATACTTAAGTATAAGTGTATTGTAAATAAATGAGCAAATAAAAAAGTTTGTTTCTTTTCCCTCCCTTCTTTCGTAAACAAGAGATAAGGCATAAGCGTGGTATTTGACATAAGCATAATAAAAGTTAATTGGGGGGCTAAACTAAATTTGGGGGCGCTGGGCGGATCTTTGCACCCCGGTGGCGCATATGCTAAAGACAGCGCTCCAGATAAATAGAAGCAGCATTGGGTAAGATGCAAAGCTTTGGCTCTTCAAAGTCTTCCATTCCCAACAAGCCAAAAGCTCTTTCATTGCAACTTGCGATTTCCTTATGCATCTCCCCACTGGGGGAAAGAAAGCACCCAAACACCCTAAAGAATAACTACCCCTGTGGGTCACTTATGATCTAGAGCATGGGTAGGCAACCTAAGGCCCGTGGGCCAGATACGGCCCAATCGCCTTCTCAATCCAGCCCGCGGACGGTCCAGGAATCAGTGTGTTTTTACATGAATAGAATGTGTCCTTTTATTTAAAATGCATCTCTGGGTTATTTGTGGGGCATAGGAATTCGTTCATTTTCCAGGACTTCCGGGGAGGCGCCTCCGGTAATGGCGGAATTCCTCTGACCGGGAGGAATCTGCTTCGTGGGAATCTGGGTCTGGCCGCCACGCCGAAGGCGGAGACCCGTTAAAATCACAGGCGGGAGAAGCCTGTGAGCGTGGGATTTGGCGGGCACCTTTTGCGCCTCCTCCACTCGCGGGGAACCCTGGTATTTGGGGCTCCGGAGTGACGTGGGGTGAGCGGCGCAGTGCATCGAATCATCTGCTTCTTCCACGGAGCGAAGCCGCATAGCTGTTGCCGGAGAGCGCTGACCTTTTCCTGTGGACAATTTGACTTTAAAGTAATTACCCGTGAGTAAAGCTGAAACGGAAGAATTGGATTTCTAAATGTTTAATTTGGTACCGTAACGGGGAGGTTCAAAACAGGAAGTCCGCCTTCCCCTTTTGTAAATAGACTGAGGCAATGAAGTTGCAAGCTGGAGTCTTGGAAGGTCTTTTGTATAAGGTTAAATTTCCAACGGTAAAGAACATTAAACCCCCTCTTGGAGGCAGGAGAAGAGAGGGGGAAGTTGTGGATTGAATATGCCTGCGGGAGAGAGCGAAGAGACTTAAAACACCGCCGCTCTGACCCTGAAAACGGGCTGCTAGTAGGACTGACGTCTTTTGGAATGTTCATTGACAGCGTTTAGAACGTTCATTGACAGCTGGTCAAATAAGAGAAATACATTGTTTCTACTGTCTCCGGCTGCTTTAAAAAGGAGTAAAAGTAACTGAAAATTGAAACTAATTTGAAACTAATCTTGGATTGTTTAAAAGAGGATACTATTGACTATTACAAATAGAAACTGTTTCCCCCTAGTGGAAGCCTTTGAAACCGGTTGCTTTACAAGAGCTGGGCTAGGGGAATTTCCAGCTGCAAGTTAAAAACCATGAGACTCTGGGACTGACCTTGAATCTTTTAAGTGTTATGGTAAATGGAAGAGGAAAAACAGACCAGTCAACTGTTGACAAAACATTAAGGTCTGGGAGGACTTGGTAACAATCCAGGAGAGGTCTATCACTAGGCCCTCCCGCTCTTTCTGTTGTTGTCTTTGTATTACTATATTTAAAACCAAGAGGAATGTCGACAGAAGAGGCTTTAGTGGCTGCATTATACAAGATAAATGACTCATTGGATCACCTTCACAGGAAAATGGACATGATAAATGCGAAAGTGGATGTTTCAATTACTAAAACTAACTTAAATACAGAAAGTATAAATAATACCAATCCAGAAACCACCCAGAAATTGATACAAGAACCTATTTTGATATGGCAAACTGTGGAGGAAATTAGGGGAAAAGCAGTTGCTGCTGAAGGTAAAGTAACACAACTTGAGAGAAAGAGAAAGAGAGCCCCAGCCCTACAGAGGCAATTTGATGAACATAAGTTGACGCATGCTACGACTGAACTTAAAGAAAAACAGACGAGTTTGAGGATTAGAGTTCACCTTTGGTGGACATGCCCAAGGATTAAGACACTCTGGGAGATGATTCATAACGAAATGAAAAAGGTATTTAAATATACCCTTTTGAAGAAACCAGAGGCCTTTCTCCTGGGCATGGTCGGCCAATTGGTGTTGAAGAAGGATAGGATCTTTTTCATGTATGCAACAATAGCAGCAAGAATACTCATTGTGAAGTACTGGAAGACACAAGATTTATCCATTCGGGAAGAATGGCAGATGAAGTTGATGGACTATATGGAATTGGCGGAAACGACTGGCAGAAATCCGAGACCAGGGAGACAGAGTCGGTGGAAGAAGACTGGAAAAAGTTTAAGACTGTTTATAGAAATACTGTAAAATAATGAATGTTAGAAAAATGTTGGAATGAAGTTATATGGCTTTAGTAGAAATGTTATAAGGAATCAAGTATAAATAGATTAATAGTGTATTAAAGGGAAAATAAGGCTAGAATATGTTAAGATAATTATAGGATAGAAAACAGAGGAAGATGGAAAGGAATTGCTGAAATAATTAACAGAAGTGGAAAACAAAAAGGGAGGTGTGAGGAGGTCGTGGAAATAAGGGAATGAAAAATAAGAAATTGAAATTGTTTTGTGTTTGAAATGGTTTGTGCCTTGCTTTGTTAGTTTTATGTTTTCCTTTTTTTCTTTTTTTTTCTTTCTTTTTTTGTCTTTCTGTTTTGTTGTGTTTAAACGGTTGAAAATTAATAAATATTATTTTTTTTAAAAAAGGAATTCGTTCATTTCCCTCCAAAAAACATAGTCCGGCCCACCACATGGTCTGAGGGACCGGCCCACGGCTGAAAAAGGTTGCTGACCCCTGAGCTAGAGTCAGCTGACACAATCTCTTTGAGATGCACAAGGCTGCCTCCTGCCTAGTTGCTGGGAGGAGGGTGGGGAGGGAGCAAAGAGCACGACAGACTGATTGAGACATCTCATCGATATTCCCAGTCCGTTAGTGTTCTGTTCTCCAGCTGGCCTTGCATCCTCCCCCCCCCCTTTCTCCTGCCTCTGATGTGCCCCCAGGTTCCCAAGCAATAATACAAGCTGTGAAGAAGAACAAGGCCAAGCTTTTCCTCCATTCCCCCACCCAGTGACTCTGTAGCTTACAGGGGATTGTGGCCTTGCCCAGCCAGCTTCTCTGGGAAGTCAACAGGAAAACCTCAACTTCTTCCGATCTGGGGAGCAAAAGTAGCGTCTTGAATCCTACATAAGGTGACTCTGCTGCAAACAATTTGCTCTATGAGTGTCCATTATCTGGTGGGGCCGAGCATATAAAAGTGTCAAAGGGCTGTAGCTCAGTGAAAGAGCATCTGCTTTGCATGCAGAAGGTTGCCGGTTCAGTCTCAGAGGGCATCTCCTGGCAGAGCCGGAAATGTTACCTTTCTGAAGCCTTGGAGAGATGCTGCCAGCCAGTGTAGACAATATTGAGCTAGGTGAACCGAAATGGCCTGAGACAGTATTAGGCAGATTCCTATGCCGCTGTGTTCTTCCAACAGATCAATAGATGACCAACGCAGGTTTATATTTTTAATCACACAATGCCACCAATATCTATGCTGCCTTCAGGAGTCGAATGAGCATGGAGCATGCAATCAAAATTCTGACCGTAGGGTGATACCAAAAGCCTCCAGGAAATTCATGTGCACGCATGTAGTTGTGCCTATTTTGGCTTTTTTATTTGGGGTGCAATGTGGCCTCCAGACCTCTCTGTCTGGCCCTTAGGACTTTCCCAAGCCACATCCTTCAGCAGCTCTGCTTTGCTTTCACCTTGAGTGTATTTGCCTGGCTGGAATGTATTGTCAAATTCTGATAATGATTCTTGCTTGCCTGGTTGGCAGATGAAAAGATGGGAGCCTAGGGTATACAAGGGCAAATTTTGCAGGAATTGCTCAGTCCAAGCGTGATGCTTATAGCTTGACAAGGAAGCACGGATGAGATGAGTTTTGTCCAGTGTTCCTGCTGCCACCATTGTTCTTCCTTGCCATTCTTCTGTCTCTCTTCCTTCCTGATGAGGCCGTCGGACTTGCCTCGCTGCCAGAAAAGGGACCTGACACAAAACACAGCTAATAACAAGGCTTTATGGAACTGTCATCGCTCTGGCGCCTGCCATTCATTCATCTGATGGTAGCTGTCATCCACAACCCTGTCCTGCTGCTAAACCTCCTCAGGTGGTTACCTTGAAGCATGTTTCATAAAAGGCACCATTGGAACTGCAAGATGAGGACAAGAGCTCTGGGCTAGACAGGTGGCTTCCTGGGTGGGCTGAAGATCCTGGGAGCTACCAGGTCTGCTTTGGGATGGAGTGGTTGGGTTGTGGTGTCAGTTCTGGAGCCCAGTCTTACTTCTAGCAACCAGCAGGAGGCCCTGGCAAAATTCCCAGCTCCAGAGGGATAGCGGCAATGAAAGTTGCAAGCTCCAGCAGTAGCTCTTTCTCACACCAACAGCACCCTTGGCTGAGTGGCTGCTTACGCATCGCTAAGAAAGAGCACGCTAAATTGCATAAATGTATATATGATTGCCAACATGCCTATGCATCCGAGCCTATCTTATATTTGTAATTAATTTATATGTTGTACTTTATTGATAGTTCGTTTTATGACGACTTTCTTGTGTTATAATCTTCATATAATCAAAGTGAGCAATTTTACCGGGTGGTTGTTACATTCTGAAATGGTTTAGCATTTGACTGCTATCATAACAATGTATTGATTTGCATTTTTGTTCTTCTGCTGCCGGACTCTTTGAGCAGATTTGTACAGAAAGGTGGCGTGCAAATTTAATTAATAGAAAGAAAGACATAAAATTTGCAAGTGCTAATTTATATGCATTTAGGAAATGTTGCTCTAATTCACTGAGTCATAGAATTGTAGAGTTGGACAGGACCCTGAGGATCATTTATTCCAAACCCCCACAATGCAGCTGTCCCATATGGGGATCGAACCTGCAACCTTGGTGTTATCAGCACCACTCTCTAACCAACTGACCTATTGAAACAGAAATACAATAAATTGTGGGGAAGACCGTGACCTGATGACCTGTGTGCCTACTGAGTCTGCTGTCCAGGTGCTGATAATTAAACTTCAATTCCCCCCACCCAACCACCTCTCTCTTCTTTGGGTTCTCTATCTTTAAAGTGGAGTTCGACCAGGCAGCCCTTTGAGTAGTAGTAGTCGCCTTCCAACACCCTACAACAGGCTTCCTCAAACTTGGCCCTCCAGATGTTTTTGGACTACAACTCCCATGATCCCTACCTAGCAGGACCAGTGGTCAGGGATGATGGGAACTGTAGTCTCAAAACATCTGGTGGGCTGAGTTTGAGGAAGCCTGCCCTACAACAACCAGGTAGCTCCAAATCCAATACATCAGGCCTTAGCTGAGGCTTGTCTGAGAGGGAGGGCAGAGGATTTGGATGGAGGCAACTTCATCCGTAGTGACTTCCTCCCCTCCCCTGAAGAACAGGGCTCTGAGATGCTGGCACAGAGGGTTTGCTTGGGATGGGAGCCACATCCTCAGAAGGCTTAGGCAGCTTTCGGTTAGTGGCCAGGACTTCCTGGGGGCCCCACAAAATGGCCGCTGGTATTTTATTTTCCCAGAATGCCCCAGTCTTTGTGCTAATCTAGGGTCGTGTTTCCCAACATGGGGCCCATGCTCCACAGGGGGGCAGTTTGATTTTTAAGGGGGCAATTCGAGAATGAGTTATTAACAGCAAATGGCCTTTTAGTATTCCTCCACATGAATAGGAGTTCACTTTTTGAATAATAAGAATTATATGTCTTGGGGAGGCATCAGGATTTTAGAGATGCTTAGGTGGGGCATGGCCAAAAAAGGGGGGGTTGGGAACCACTGATCTAGGGCATCCTTTGTGGGATGGTGGCAGCAGATGATGCACATTCCAAAAGAAATGACAGTCTCTCTCCCACTGTCTGGAAATTTAAGTAAAGAAGAGGCTCAAAAGAGTGGTACACCTCACTGCAAAAGAAAAGCCAGGATGGCCTTGCCTGCCTCTGGATGCAACCATTAAAAAGAAAAGGAAAAAAAATCAAAAAGGTTAATAAATGGTTAAGTGGTTTATTGAATTGTTTATCAATAATTTATAGATCCCCATAAAGTCCACCAACTCTTTATTACCCTCCTTTTTTTATAACCATCCATAACTATAATTCCTTTGACTCTTAGCCAGGTTGCTTTTCTTTCCCTCTCTGTATCAGGTATTAATGATCTGGAAAGTTCAAAAACTGCTCCACACACTCATTAACCCTTTAATACTTGCCTAATCTCTCTCTCTCTCTCTCTCTCTCTCTCTCTCTCTCTGTGTGTGTGTGTGTGTGTATTAAAGTCATTTAGACAGTGTTACCGTTTATTTGGAGTTTTTCTACCAGTTCAACCTTACAGGAGATTTCACAGTTTAGGGAAATTAAGACAGGCAGAGGCAGGTAGGAATCTCCTGTGGGTGAGCCAACTCACGAAATTAAACCTTGCCAGTGTTTTTTTGGAAAGGGAGTGAATTGCAAATAGGCGAAAGGAGTCATCAAAATATACGGGGACGTATTCCGCTTGGGATTAGTTTTTATTGCTCCGCTGCAGTTGCGGAGCTGAGCTCTATTTACTACATCATTCTTCTGTACCTTTTGATTATCATTAAAGGAAATCCTTTATAGATTTTTGGGGTTCCAGGCATGTTGTGAGATGGCTCCATCTCTTTCAAAACTCTGCAATAAAACCAGTTTCATGCACATCCCTTAACCAGCAATCTCCCAGAGAGACCCTTTAAGATTGGGGGGCGGGGGGAAATGACGACCATATCTCCCATCCCCTCAAATTGAGGGGAGAAGGTGTCAGGTAGGGGTAAAGTGGAAGGGGCTACCCCAAAGCCTATCATTTGCTTATTATAATGGTCACTACTTCTCAATGGACCATACATCTCACAATTTTTTAAAAAACCTTTTGGCATCATGACATCACAGTGAGGAAGCCAAAGGTGCAGCAAAAAAAGAAACAAACCCTAAAGTACATTTTTAAAAAGGCATATTTCAGGGGGGCAGAGGCGCTGTATCATGCCACACCACAGAAATGCGGGGTGCACACCACGCCCCCGGGACGAGGGCCCTGAGACAAGTGCTGCTTCGGGTACCAGAGCAGGTTGCTTCACCTCTGGGTGCAGGATTAGTCAGCTGCCTGTTGCCGATGTGCCCATCTGAGGAACAAGGACCTCCCTAGAGTAAATGGATACTTGTGAGTAAGCTGCTCCTCATGGGTCGACCAGGCTCTCAGGCAATCTGCAGCTGGGCTCTGAATACTAAGGCTTTAAAATGATGGGGAAATGTATTTGCACCAGCTCCTTCACAGCTCCAGCTCTATCTCTCTAGCCCAGGGGTCAGCAAACTTTTTCAGCAGGGGGCCGGTCCACTGTCCCTCAGACCTTGGGGGGCAGACTATATATTTTTTTGGGGGGGGGGGAATGATTGAATTCCTATGCCCCACAAATAACCCAGAGATGCAGTTTAAATAAAAGCAATCATTCTACTCATGTAAAAACACACTGATTCCTGGACCGTCCATGGGCCAGATTGAGAAGGCGATTGGGCTGCATCCAGCCCCTGGGCCTTAGGTTGCCTACCCCATCTCTAGCCGGTCACTGAACGCTTACCCCAGTGCCAGACCACCCAAGAAACAGAGTGAAGCAGTCGACCATGGTACTTTCTCAAAACTTTCAATGTGCCTGTTGGCCCAGACAATGTGACCATCCTTCAATCAAGCCCTGAGCAGCCTGGCTCTGGGTTAAGCTCCAATATCTGAAATAGTCCAGTTGGCAGAGCAGGAGACTCCTAATCTCAGCATCATGGGTTTGAGCCCCACATTGGGCAAAAGATTCCTGAATTTCAGGGGTTGGGATTAAATGACCGTCAGGGTCCCTCCCAACCCCAAAGTTCTACAATTCTATGACTTTGCCCATGTGCTAAACCCCACTCATGTACCCCACCTTCCAGAGGTGGGGGGCTGCTATGTTGTGGCTGCCCCCAGACACCACAAAGGCCACCTGGCTCCTCCTTTGCTGTCTTCCAATTGCCAGCCAAAAGCTGTTTTACTCCTGAGTGCATTCGATGAAATTTAATTTCAGAGCATCTTAGCTCAGTTTTTTGGGTTGGTTTTTTTTAAAACTGGTTATTCTGCTGCTGCTTCTGTTAGTGGCTTTTTGTTTGTTTGTTTTAATTCATTTTAGCTTATTAATTGCAACAGTTAATTGTAGATTTATTTCATTTAATTTTGGAAGCCGCCTCAGGGGTTTCAGGCAGAAAGAGGGTAATGCTTTATTGAATAAACCGTTAAGTCAATGTAAAACAGCAAACACCTATTTTGCTGGCAGTCTAATCTGTTTACGCTTTCTTGTGATCTAATAAATGAATCCTCTTTGAATTTGATTTCAGTGAAATTGAGAAACTGTCGGGAAGCTGGCACTTGTCCCCCTCCCGCAGTCCCCCCATGCTTTCAAATTATTTGGCTAGAACCTTAAGAACCAATGGTTTCCTGTCTTCCTACTGAGCAATTGCATCCAATGTCTTCCTGTAGCAAAAAGGTGAAAGGAAGCTGGAAATTCAGGACAAGAGGCTGGCATAGACCTGTGGAATGCAGGGGGCAAGTCCCAGCTGCCTCTTTCTTGCCAGCTTACTGCCCTGGGGCAAAATCCAGCCCGGGCTGTTGCTGAGGCCACTGGTGTAGAGGGCTGTCAGGGGGCTGTTGCCCCGGGCGCATAATGGGGAGGGGGCGTGAACCAGGCCCCCCTGAGATTTCCCCGCCCAGTGCATGAGAGAGCACCCATCAGTGGCAAGGGCTGGGCGATGTGCAGAGGGTCTCTTTGCCTTCCGCTCAACCAGCCTTCATCTCCAACGAGTGGCCAGGGAGAGAGGAGAGTCAGCGGCAGTGTTGCCACCCTTCTCCTTGGCTGGGCGACACCGCGCAAGGATGCTTCCAAGGGAGCATTCCCGTGCCCGGCCAGGCCAGGTGCAGCGGGCTCCCTCTGTGCCCCACATCCCGCCCCCTTCGAGGGCATGCCCCAGGCGCCCACCATAGGTGGCTGGAGCATACACTCTGCCACTGGCTGAGGTTCCTGCCTGGGACCCTCTAAAATGAAAGGCAGCCCCACCACAGTAGGCTGCCATTGCCACCAGGTGCCGCAGCCTTGCCCGCTCTGCCCTGCCTCGCAAAGCCTTGGAAGCAGCTGCAAGGAGAAGCCTGTGTTGTGCTCCTTTCCTGCTTCACTGTCACTGTGGAGAGGCAGCCCGCCTGGCTGAAGACAGACGGTTGTCTCTCCACTGTAATTTCGCTGGGCCAAACTGCAGGATGGCAGCAGCTGCAGGAGAGAAAGCAAACAACACTCAGTGCTATAATTACATATGTTAAATATATACATATCTGTATCTCTCTGTGTGTGCATCCGTGTATATATATATCTCCAAGTAGTCTTTCTTCCTCTAGGTGTTACAGATGTACCTGTCACAGGACTATTTTCTTTGCTTCCTCGCTGTGGATGTGTCGCCTTGGTAATACAGTTTCCACTCTGCTGGAAAGGGGCAGAAAAGGGCATGCAGAATGATTCAGGGGCTGGTGGAGCAGCTCAAGGAGAAGCTACAATCTTTGGGGCTTTTTAGCTTAGTAAAAAAGGGCACAGAGAACATAACAGAGGTGTCTAGAATGATGCATATGATGGAGAGGATGAATAAGGAGAATTCTGCCTCTCTCACAACACTAGAACCCAGAAGCGTAGGTGCATGTTGGAAGATTCAGACCAAAGGAACACATAGATGCTGGTGTCTTTTGATTTCTTCTGGTGTTCATTTAAATTATATGTTGCCTTTATGGATAATTTTACCTCTTGTGAATCACTTTGGGGGTTTTCTACAGTCAAGGGGCACATACATTTTGTAATATACAATAAAAATAAAGGCAGGACTTCATCACACAGCTCATAGTTAAACTATGGCATTTCTTCCCACAAGTAGGGATACTTCTTAGTATAAATAGTCATACTCCCAAAGTCCAAATACGCAGGCAGCTGTGCCAATTTAACACATATGTTAAAGCAACAGTGCATCACTTATCAGGATTACCCTGCGTAGTTTCCTGAGCTCAGTGGTGCTTCGATCGGATTGCATAGTTTTGCTTAATTTGTAGATTTGACTTGTAAACCGCATTGGCCTTTAACAAAACAACTCCAGCCGGCTGAAATACAACCTTTAGCTTTTCACTAGAAACACATGCACAACCTTGCAATGAAGTGTTATCATGTAAACAGTCTGTGTGAAGGAACCCCAACAAAGAAAAGGAAAGACGTGTCCAGCCTCTGTGTGATGGGTGCATTCTCTGACTTAAAAAATTGGTGACCTCTGACATTGGTACCTGGGCTGGCATGGGCACAGCAGGGCACACCAAGGCTTGTGGCACTGCTTGACGCAGATTCTTTTTGTTCTTCTTATTTTTCAAAGCAGTTTTTGGTCAGGGAACAGCCAGCCAGGCATGTGCATGCCTGTACTCTTCCCATTTTATTATTTTTACTTTTAAAACCAATCACTCTTTTCTACAATAATAAAATGGCGCTTGGTCCCAAGGAAATGCATTTAGCACCAGGGTGGCAGAAGCAAACCCCGTTTTATTCCTGTAGTCATGATGCCACTATGATCTAAGTGAGTTTTAAATGCAAAACTGCATGTGGAATTTTTTAATTCAAAAAGTCAGGCTTGGAAAACTCTTTTTGATAACCTAAACCAAAACACAGCTAGTGACCCCTCAAAATTCACACTTCTCTGAATTTTGCTGCGCAGTTCTCCAACTGAAAGAAAGGGGAGGAAAAAATGAGGATATTGTCAGAATATGTGCATAAAAATGCATGTATTAATTAAAATAGCATACAAAAAAGCATTATTTGGGGCGAAAGTTCTTGCAAAGATGTATATTGGGCTCTGATCAGCCATGTGGTGCAGTGGTTAGAGTGTCAGACTAGAACCTGTGAGATCAGCGTTCAAATCCCTGTGCAGCCATGAAACTTGCTTGGGTGACTTTGGGCCAGCAATGTCTTTCAGCCTAACTTACCTCTCAGGGCTGTTGCAAGGATTAAATGTAGGGGCTAGAAACTACATACACCACCTCGAGTTCCTTGGAGGAATGGCGCAATATACTAAACGTAATAATACAGTGGTACCTAGGGTTACATACGCTTCAGGTTACAGACTCCGCTAACCCAGAAATAGTACCTCGGGTTAAGAACTCTGCTTCAGGATGAGAACAGAAATCGTGCGCGGAGGCTGCAGGAGGCCCCATTAGCTAAAGTGGTGCTTCAGGTTAGGAGCAGTTTCAGGTTAAGAACGGACCTCCAGAACGAATTAAGTACTTAACCCGAGGTACCACTGTACATACACATCATTTCCTCTGACTTTTAAAATGCAAATTGAAGTAAGAACATGTCCAGCTGAGTTTAAGACCGAGAAATGGAGAAACGGAGAGAAATACCTAAATTATTAGTCAGTCCGTATCCTCAACTAGCTCCAACACAATCCTGGAAGGTGGAGAAAAAAGCTCCCTCATCTCCATCTCTTTTGGGCTGAGCCTTGGATACGTGACCAACTGGCACCTGCACCGTTTGTTTCCAAAATTTGGCACCCATGTCCTAAGAGTCTGTGGAGAGACATGGTGAACTCACCCCATCCTGGCTGTGCTGCTGGATGTGTGTGGAGAGAGGGTGAGAGAGAGAGAGCGGGGTTGGTGACTGCAGAACAGATCAGGCCTGGCCATGTTTTGTGGCTCTCCGATACTGCAGACTTTGTATTATCCTTCAGGTGGTAAATTGTTTTGGGTTCTTTTGTCTCCGTCGTTCAAGCAAGCTGTGAATCTGACAGAAGGACAGGCAAGCCCCTTGCCAAGAACAATATCTACCAAGCAGTCCATCATTCCTGTTGGGGATCTTTAATCCTGCATTGGAACAGCGCAGCAAATGCCAATCCACTCCACCCAGAACAGAAACGGCCCAGGAAAGGTTTTAATGACTAATCTGCTGGTGCTGAGACAATATATTTATAAACTGATTCATTATTATACGGATATTTTAAAATCTCACCCTTCTTTATGCAGGAGTCTCTGGGTGGGTTACAATAAGGTGGGGGGGTTGTGACGCTCCTCGCCAGTAAGGAATACCAGCATCTTTTTTTCTCCTACCTGTGGCAGCCATTTTGTGCTAGCACCCCAACACTTTTATGCAGGGATGGGTATCGGCACCTCATTCCCCCCTCCAAAGCACTGGTGACACTAGAAACAGAACTAACCAGAATAACCACGACATCCAATGCCCTTTTAAAATGTGTTGGTAGGGTTATTGGGTTGTTTTAATTTTTATTATGCATTTTGTGTTTTTATATTGTGGTGGTTTTTTTAGTTGTAATCGCCCTGAGACCTGCGGGTATAGGGTGCTGTACAAATTTAATAAATAATAAATAATAATCACTAAACAGCATTCGGGGACGCGGGTGGCGCTGTGGGTTAAACCACAGAGTCTAGGGCTTGCCGATCAGAAGGTTGGCGGTTTGAATCCCCGTGACAGGGTGAGCTCCCGTTGCTCGGTCCCTGCTCCTGCCAACCTAGCAGTTCAAAAGCATGTCAAAGTGCAAGTGGATAAATAGGCGGAAAAACTGTCCACGGAAAAACAAAACACACATGTCACATTTCCAGCGTCATCTTACAACCGCCACCAACACCAGTTGTCAAACTTACAAACTTAAGCCCTGCACAGTTTGGGATATTGTTTTGTTCATTGCTCCCATTCATTATCAGTCCCCAATGAACACAGCTTGTGTGCTTAAAAATACCTGCAGTTAGATGC